TATATATATATATATATATATATATATATATATGCATCAATAAACTCTCATCACGTGGTGTGGTGCGGCTTTGATTTCAGTAGCAAATAGGTTTTACGCGGGGAACTTATTGTCCCCCCGACGTCCACGGATTCAAAGTCGTTCTACTACAAGATTGACTGGCAACGAAAATTAAAGATTCTGGGAGAAAAAAGAGACGAAGTATTACCTTTTCCAAGCGTATCGGAACTCGTCGATACCACTTTCCTCATCGGTAACCACTGCGAGAAGATCCAAGTTATATATAGGATAAATTCGAAAAGAAAAGCATTTTGGCTGTGAATATTTCTAAGGGGACTCGATGAGGAATTGGATAGCCGAGTCGAATTCTAGCAGAGTTCATTATAATCACTTTAGTGCTAATATCCTTGGGAAAGCTATGGATCCATCTCTTTTTCTCCATTTATGGGTAAATAGCAGGACAGACTAGGTACTTTAGCCTTGGTTGGTGACTAATCTAGGAGAAAGAAATCTCAAGCCAGCCTGGAGAAGGTTGGGTTCCGTCAGGATATCTTACCCAGGAAGCATCATGTGGGACGTCAACGACCCTAATGAGTTATGGCGATCATGCTTTTTTTTAATTTTTATTTTCTGATTCAGTCAAGTGAAAGCAAGACTGGTTGCTGTATTATTGACCTTATTTTTCACGCAAAATTAATATTTGATCGTGAAACTTGCATTCTGAAAAGAGGAAAATAATTAATAAGTGATAAAATATCTGACTTTTTAAAAATCTGTTTATCGCTGAAGTTAAGTCGATTAAAGTAAATAAAGCTATCATAGATAGATACATTTTTTTTGTCACAAGATTTAATTCGATTCCCACAGCACCCATCCTAACACTTAATATTTTTACCGTACGATCACCGAAGTTAAGCAACGTCTATCCTGGTCAGCGCCTAGATGGTTCACCGCTTGGGGATATAAGGTACTCTAAGCTTGGATGTGAGGGTGGTGTAATGGATAATGGCTCGGAATTGTTAATTGAAGTGTTGAGTTCCAATTCCAGCGGTGTTCGTTATATTCACTTACGCACAATTATCCTTGGGAAAGAAATTGAAGCCACCCCTTATCCCCCAGCTATGGGTTAATTAGTAAGACTTCTTTTACTAAAAACTATTAGTATCTAAAAAAATAAAGTAAAAATAAAATTGGTTAGAAAATATTTAGATTTCTTCATTAAATAACTCACAGAGGTTGATATGCCGCTAAACAAAAAATAACCAGTCAAAAAATTAATATTTTTCATTGCAGAAGCTAAGACTAGAAATTCTTTGTTTACTGCAGATGTTTAGAAACACGTGTCCCAACTGATTCAGTAAAATAGGAAATTCAGCAAAGTGCTAAGACATAAGAAAATTCCGTTAGAAACAAAGAAAAGTGCAATGCATTGTTAATCCTTTCAAAAGGCAGTCAATGATGGGCAATTTCGCCACAATCAAAGAAGAAAGTTGAAATAACACAAATATGGTTCCACAGAAAGAAGCTAAGAACAGCATGGACTGAACATGAGAACAACGACGAGGTTTTAAGCAAAATGCAAACAAAAAGGACATTTATAATTAAAACCAGAAAAAAAAAAGCAGTTGAAATAAAAGGAAAGACGGGATGGATAATTTGACACTCACAGGTCATACTGAAGGCAAGGACGTCAGCTGAAAGCAGCAAATAACCTCCATCAGAAGCTTGTGTACATAAATGGCAGAAAAAGGGTTTAGGATATATATTGCAAAACACAAACTTTACTAAGAGGACAGGAAATTGTGGAGAGCCATGATCGCCAACGTCCTGAAGAAACATTGGATATAGAAGAAGGAAAAATGAAAAAAAGTTCTTTTAAATCCACAGTGTAGCGTTTATTTAAAAGCGGGGCACTGAAACACTGATTATTGGACAAAGCTACTATTAGTTACGTGGTGGATGTCACACAAAGTGACATTATTGGATCAACACATAACGGGGGTTGGTATCTGGGGAGATGGTGGGCAGGGTAATACAGTAAAATATTCTCTATGTGTAAGAAATTGTTCTTATGCAACTTGTGCAATGTGGTAGGGTGCATTGTCCTTCTGAAATGTCACTGCCATCGTAGAACACTTGCCCTTCATTAATATTGAGGTAGGAGGTACGCGACAAAATAATTCTCACACGAATGTTAGAACTCAGTGTTTCTCAACAGAACGTTGCCCGAATCGTTATATTCCTTCTTTCAGTCTGTTATTTTCCCACACTGGTTCCAACATTTCCCCCGGTATAAAGATCAGCACGTACCCTGCCAACCACCTTATTCAAGAGAAAGCGATACGCATCGCATTTCTATTGAGATATATGGTCCAGTTTCGACCCTTTTGTTAACACTGATGACGCTTTCATTCCTTCTTGATTAAAGCTATCTGTCTTTTGTGTCACAATAGCTTATCATTTGACTCCTAACAAGTAGATAGCGGAAGGCAGTTAATAACGGGCAATCCTCTCTGTCAAAGCAAGCGTCACTTCTTGAAACAACCCTCTTTCTGATTCGCATAAATGATATACCTAAGAATATACTCCGATCATTTGTAAATGTCTATACAGATGGTACGACGATATACGGGTGACGATCAGAGATTGGCAGCTAACATCTTTTTCGATCTAACACTAACTTCCGAGTGGATTAAAAATCTGACTGTTTACATTTAATGCCTCTAAAACCAAACTGGTTACATTCAATCATCGCCGAACTACTGCCAGTCACGCTGAACGGATGTCCCCTCAGGGAGGCACCGTGCCTTTGGAAGATATTGAGCCTGAAACACACAGCCGACCTCAAGTGGAATTCCTATATACGATCCATCGCTAAATGATCGCTTCCCTGTACCGCTCCAGTAAGTATCTGACTCCTAATGCTATCCTCTGCCTTTTGGCAGATCAGGCCGAAAATGGAGTACTGTTGCCACATTTGGGCGGGAGCTGCCTAGACCTCACTTTCCAGTTTTGATAGAGTTCAAAAGTGTCCCTGAGACCTTGTTGGGCAATAATTATTTTTCACACTCGAACCTCTCTCACTCACAGGTGGGATGTAGCGAGTTTCTCACTGTTCTATCGCTACTACCATGAAAAGTGCTCGGACGAACTGCATCTCCTGGATCCACCAGAAGGGACTTCAGTTTTTGTTGTCATGAGTTTATATCTGTTATGACAACTCAAACACATTTGCCCGAAGACATCATGTAAATGTCCTTGTCATGGGATAAGTATTTTAATAATAATAATAATAATAATACTTAAGTAGCTTACGTCACGTGAGCCATTAATGTCGTAGGGACACCATATGTACTGCAGTCATAACAGCAGTTGTGTGTCTAGGGCAAGATTTGACATAGCAAATCCCCCATCAAGCTGGTTTTGAATTCGGAGTTTTTCTTCTTCAAGACTGGTTACCACATCAAAGCACGAGAGCCCACTCGGCCTTTCTGCTTAATCCATCGTCGTGGGGAGCAGAGTTGGACTCGTAACTTTCTCGAGGGTATTTGTGAAAAAAAAAAACGTAACGAAATCGGCCGGGTTTCGAACTAGGCTCGTCGATTTCTCTTTCTGACTCGCTAGCCGTTATATTTCCCGAAAATCTCCTAAGAAATATGTGCTTAACTAAAAAGAGTATTTGAAGAGAAGATTTTTGCTGCTCACAGGGGCAACAGTCTCTTTTATCAGAAATTTGTAAGGAAATCGTGTTGAATAATGAAACTATGAATGAATTGTATTTCATCAAAAGGAAGGGGAAGCGGAAAATGAAATATTCCAACATGAAAGATAGAAACAATGACGCTCCGTTGAAAGATTAATCCTAATCTGATGTTCGAATAATCTGATAATTTGCATTTCTACTAAATTGGAGTAGCATAACATAGTGGTGTTTCGAGAAATCTTTTTAAATGATGCTAGGAATATTTAGATCTGGATAAGGGTGAGATTTTCAAATATGACTGATCTGTGGTCGCGATTGTGTGTAACACAATCAAGTCTGGTCACTAGGCTTGCGATTAACAACATCCCTTTCTCAACAAATCAAGTCATCGTAAATCGTAGAAAGCCATACTAGTTTATGATAATGAAGAGATATATTTTGGAAGAGAAAGCGAGAGAGAAGTAAGTCATCGAGGAAAATTAGCAAGGAAGGGAGGAAGGTAGGCAGGTAGGTAGGAAGGAAGGGAGGAAAGAAGGAAGGCAAGAAGGAAGGAAGAAAGGAAGGAATGAAGGCAGGCAGGAAGAAAGGAAGGTAGGCAGAAAGGAATGAAGGGAAGCAGGAATGAATGAAGGAAGGCAGGAATGAATGAATAAAGGAAGGAAGGAATGAAGGGAGGGATGGAGGAATGAATGAATGAATGAATGAAGGAAGGAATGAATGAAAGAAGGAATGTAGGCACAAAGGCAGGCAGGAAGGAAGGAAGGAAGTCAGATAGGAAAGAAGGAAGTCATGCAGGCAGGGAGGAAGGAATGAATGAATGAATGAATGAATGAAGGAAGGAAGGAAGGAAGGAAGTGAAGCAGGAATGAATGGACGAAGACAGGAAGGAAGGAAGGAAGGAAGGAAAGAAGGAATGTAGACAAATAGGCAGGAAGGAAGGAAGTCAGATAGGAAAGAAGGAAATCAGGCAGGCAGGAAGGAAGGAATGAAGGAAGGCAGGAAGGAAGGAATGGAGGAAGGAAGGCGGACAGAAAGAAACGAAGAAAGGAAGGCAAAAAGAAGGAAGAAGTAAGATAAAGAATGAAAAGTTAAAAGGATGATGGTATGAGTGTTAATAGGCACAAATAAATCTTCCAAAAATTTGGAAAAATCCTAATGAAAGAAATAAAGAAAAAACATAGGGAGCGAATGTTATGAAATCTTTCGTTTCACTGCACACTGATCATTCGTCGTCTCTCCTCCTCCTTATCGGAGACATTATATATCTTGGATCTTCCGGATATGTTAATTAGTTAATCTACATATCACTATAGCGAAGAAAAATGAAAAAGAGGTAATATAGAAAAATATCACCAAAAAAAAAAGGTAAATAAAATAAATGAATAACGGATGAAAGAAAAAGAGAAAAGAAATAAAAAGGATGAATTAAAGAAAGAAAAAAGAAAGAGAAAAGAAATAAAAAGGATGAACTAAAGAAAGAAAAAAGAAAGAGAAAAGAAATAAAAAGGATGAACTAAAGAAAAGAAAAAAAGAAAGAGAAAAGAAATAAAAAGGATGAACTAAAGAAAGAAAAAAAAAAGAAAAAGAAATAAAAGGATGAACTAAAGAAAGAAAAAAAGAAAGAGAAAAGAAATAAAAAGGATGAACTAAAGAAAGAAAAAAGAAAGAGAAAAGAAATAAAAAGGATGAACTAAAGAAAGAAAAAAGAAAGAGAAAAGAAATAAAAAGGATGAACTAAAGAAAGAAAAAAAGAAAGAGAAAAGAAATAAAAAGGATGAACTAAAGAAAGAAAAAAAAGAAAAAGAAATAAAAAAGGATGAACTAAAGAAAGAAAAAAAGAAAGAGAAAAGAAATAAAAAGGATGAACTAAAGAAAGAAAAAAGAGAGCAAAGAAAGACGAAAGAAAGAAAGAAAATATCAAGAAGAAAGGAAAGCAAAAAAGAGAAAGAATGTTTGATAATGTCGTAAAGATAAGGATGTAGAAAAAAACAAAAATACAAAAAGAAAGAAAGAAAGAAAGGAAGAAAGAAAGGAAGAAAGAAAGAAAAGAAGAAATATAGTTGAATGACAAAGAAAGCAAAAAGAAAAAAATCGGAATAACCAATGACACAGTAAAAATAAAGAATCCAATTAAAGATTAAAGAGAGAAAACTGGAGAAGAAAATATAAAGGAATATAAATAAATACAATTAAAGAAAGAAAGAAAGAGAATCGAGAGAAAGGGAGACAACTACGTAAAAAGAAAGATATTACACCGATTTACCAGGGCCTGTAGTCCCAAAGCCATATGCATTATCCATTTTGACGGGTTAGCAGAGGTCGCGTAATAATAATTCAATAATACCCTTCTGACCTGCTAAATATTCATATCCCACGTCTTTAAAGCATTAGTTCTGTTAAAAACTTAAACAAATATTTCTCATATTAAATTCTTTGATAAATATCTCAACAGGCTTGCCAGAATTTACCACATCTAACGCTTCATAAAAAGTGCGAGAAACTCTGTCTTCACAGAGTGTAGTGTCCCTTGGTCCTGGGGGTTGGATAAGGGATGTGCAGTTTGGTGGTAAGTAAGCTGTGTCCACATTATTCTTAAACAACCTCTGGGATGGGCTGAATAGTTTTTTTTTCCAGAATAAGAGGAATTCTTCCGGTAGATGTACAGATTTGTGTGGATTAAATGGAGGCAGGGGTCATACATTGCAGGAAAATCGGGGGCGTATTTGTACAAAGAACAAAATAAATAAAACAAGTCTGGAAAGAAGATAACAAAAAAGGAACATCGTTGACTAGAAGTAAAAGACACAGGGAGAAATAAATAAAACAGAAAGAGTAAATGAAAGAAAATACGAAAACAAAAAGGAAAGAATGAAGAAATAAAAAGAAAGCCATAACGAATGAAAAACAGACAAAAAGTAAAGAGGAATTAAAGAAAATGACAGATAACAATTTAAAGAAAAAGAATAAAAGAAAAATACAAAGAAAGGACTATTTACATTATTCGGACTATTGTCCTCATCTTTGTTGCCATATTTATCACAACGTTTCGGTCGTTGTACGCTCCGGCCTTCTTCAGGTGGTTGGAATGTCGGACTGAACCCTTTATTTCGCTCGCTGGAGTAGACTGTTCTAGTTCCATATGCCATGTCTAATGAATGTCAGTTATCAGTTATCTCCTGTTAATTCAGCTCTCCAACAGAATTACCAATGAAGAAGACCAAAGAAGGATCCAAAATGACCTGAATAAATCCTTCAGACATGAATTCAATGTCGTCAAGGCTCAATAGATTGAAAGATCAGAAGGTGGCGCATAAGGTCCGTCACCCACCAATGAAAGCAGTAATCAACATCAGCCAATATCAGCTGGGAACCTCTGAGTTGTGAGTTCAATACCTGGTTAAGGCAGTGGAAAACTTGGAGAGGTGAATTAGCAGGAGATAACTGACATCCATTAGACATGGCACCAGGAACTAGAACAGTCTACCCCAGTGAGCGAAATAAAGGGTTCAGTTCGACATTCCAATCACCTGAAGAAGGCCGGAGCGTACAACGGCCGAAACGTTGTGATAAATATGGCAACAAAGATGAGGACAATTGTCCGAATAATGTAAATAGTGTACATAATACTTCATCTCAGAAATATAGACAGATACTAGAAAGAAAGGACATTTACATAAATTGTATATATTGATACTGAGAGGACGAAACGCGTCGTCTAAGTGTCACGAGGGAGAATATTTCCCTACAAGTTTGGACTCGGTTGTCAGACAAAAGACATAAAAATGGTCCTACATCAAGAGGAGTAGCAGAAGGAGCAATAGCAGCAGTTTGGTGAAAATAGTCATTCGCAGCTAAACATTATTTCCTTTAGTTTCTATTCTACATCATGTTTCCCTGTACTAGGTAAGGCAATAAACTTTTTGTTAAACCAATTCGAGTTTTCTACTGTAGTTTTTGATAACTCAGTTACAACACTAAGTTTTCCTTTTATCTTTTATTCATATATATATATATATATATATATATATATATATATATATATATATATAATGATAATAATAATAATAATAAAAAGGCTTAAACACTAATATTCCATGGTCATAATTTATTCCATTGGAATCGTAAATACGATTCAATTCATCAGACCTACAAATTCAAAAAAAAAAACAGAAAAACAACTCCGAAATAAAAATAGAATTTAGAGAGAGTGTAAGTATGAGAGTGTGGGACGAATGTTAGAGCTAAAGAGAGGGGTAACAGACGAGAGAAGGTGGGAGATTAAACCTTAACAGAGAGGAGTTTTATTGAGGTGAGTGGAAGAGGTTTAAGTGAGAGGAATATGAATGTTGTCGGATGTCTAATACATTAAAGATACATTTCGTGGTGACATACACACACCATAGACGATCTAATGTTAAAGATCAGAATAAGAGGGAGGGAGAGGAAAAGAAAAGAAAAAAGGGGTGGGGGAGAGAGATGGGGCGGGGGAAACTAAAACTGAAGGGCATTTACTGAAAGGGCCGCTGTGTAATTAAGAAAATTTGACAAAATTAATATCGACTACAGGTTACAAATCAAATCTAAACATATAAAAAATAAATATAACGATTATCTAATCTAGCAAGGACCTACATTTTTATGCTAAAAAACACATGCGATTACACACATACACAATAACATATACACGTACATACATACATACATATAGGCGTATACCCACATACACACATACATATACCCATGTACACACGTACACATATATCCACATATCCACATATACACATATACACATACATATATATATAAACATATACATATACACATATATATATATATATATATACATACATATATATATATATATATATATATATATATATATATATATATATATACCCACACACACATATACACATTCTCATATATATATATATATATATATATATATATATATATATATATAAACACACACATACACATACATGTATACATATAATACATAAATACACACACACACATATACATACATATACACATACATCAATGTGTGTGTGTGTGTGTATGCGTTTGATAAAGTGAAAAAGCTATCAGTGACACGTTTTGCCGTCTGAACTAAAAAAAAAACGAAATCAACTTACGTTCGGCGAAACGCGTCGTTTATAGTTTTCCCACTTTCTCTCATCATCTTAACTTTAGTTTCGGAATCTATCATACATTATATAAACACAGACGCATGCACACACACACACACACACACACACACACATACACATGTATTTCAAATATTTCGTAGCCGAGTGGTTAGAACGTTCGCTTTCTGACCATGAGACTCGGGTTCAAATCTCACCACGGTCGATTTGTCAAGAAGGTGACATCTTGATGTTATTGGTCTGGAGGAGGGGATCTCAGCGTGCGACACCTTTCGGATGTGCCTGAAAACTAAATCATACCACAAACCTTGTGAGTGAAATTGGGTAGATGAAACTCTTTGGGAGCTAAAAAGTTTGTGCTAGCACGATGTCACAAGTCATCATGCCCGAGGGTTTGAGAATGCTGACCTTGTTCAGACTGTTGATCATGCTAGATAACGCGCTTTCTCCCAGAAACTTTAGCTAGGGTCCGCTCAGAATAGTTGCAGTATAAACCACAGGTAGGCTCTGTGGGTGTTGAACAAACACAAATGTGCTCGAGTCAGGGATTGACTAGCCTCCCTAATAGACGGGCATCCTCGAATAGGAGTAGCCAGCCAGCCAACCATATTTCAAACGTTATTTTAGTGCAAGGGTGGGCAATAAATGGCCCGCATGCAGCTCGCGGAAACATTCGCCCCCCCCCAAACAGCAAAAAACGAACTTCCAAATCAAAGATTTTCGTAAACTGATGACGATGAACTGCGAGTGCCGGTGTAAACTTGCTTCCGTGTTTTAATAACCGGATACCTACTGCGCATGCACCCGTTCAAACGCATGCGCAGTCGATGTTGATACCGACGTTGCCGGCGATTCTGTCTCATTTTAGTTTCATCTTTCCAACGGTAAGATCTGTAACGTTCCGCCCCGAGCTAACGATGGGCTCCTCTAAAAAGAGCAAAAAGAAAAAAAAAGAAGAAAAGAAAAAGAAAAAAAGAATGCCATGCGTTTAGTGAAGACTGGACAGACAAATATTTCTTCAATAGTTCACTGAATTACTGTGTCACAAAACATCTGCAGTATTCAAGGAGTACAATTTGAAACAACACCACCAAAAAAACCATGCCGAATTTTGTAGCAGAATGTCCTAGGAAGAACGCAGGAAAAAAAGCTGCACAGACCATATTTCCGAAGCACTCGACTGTTCAGGATAATGCTACAGCGGCAAGCTTCATGGCGGCATACAACCTCGCTAAAAATAACAAGTCATTTTCTGATGGCGTGTTTGTTAAGCAGTGATTGGTAGATTTTGGCTAACGTCATGTTCCCTGATAGGAGAAGAAAATTCGAAACCATTTAGTTATCAAGAAAGACTATCGTTCGATGTATAGACTTAATCAGTGACACAGTAGAAGTCTGCGAGCAAAGATTTTGGTTGGATTTCTTTAGCAGTGAATGAGAGCATCGATAATCAAGATACTGCACAGTTACTTATTTTTATCGGTGGAATTGATAAAAATTTCGTCATCCCAGAGGAACGACTTGGTTTGGAATTGGTGAAAAATACAACCACTGGCCAGGACTTGTTTGTGTTGTGGATTGTGTGGAGAAAAGTGCCTTGTCATGGAATAGAATGGTAAGCATTACAACAGATGGGGCCAGAGCATTTACTGGAAAAGTGGTATGATTAAACATTTAGAAAACAAGTTAAAAGCAGAACGCCCATGCAGTGATGTCTTTTCATTGTATTTTGCACCAAGAAAGCCTGTGTAAAGCTGCACTAGACCTAAAGGATGTAGTAAATCCTGTAGTGAGCGTGGTGAACACAAGCAGAGCAAGACTGCTCAACCCTCGACAATTTAAATCTCTGTTTGAGGGCATGGAGACAGAGTACAGAGATGTGATTTTCCCTAACAATGTTCAGTGGTTCCTAAGACAGGTTTGGGAATTAAAGAATGAAATCCTCTATTTTCTGGACATAAAGAGGATTTCATGTGATTTTAAGACCAAAATGGGATGTGGGGAGTGGAGATATGAGATGATGCTTGTAGCTGATAATTTTGAGAAATTAAATGAATTGAATATGACGTTGCAGGAAAGAGGCTGTTTACATATAATGAGACATGTGAGCTCATTGAAGACGAAACTATATTCTATTTGCAAAGCGAGGCGAGTTTTGCCATTTCACTTTTTTTAGAAAAACAGAAAGTACCTGCAAGTGATTCTTCCAAGGTTAGGGATCATTTGCTTAGGATGAAGTCACATTTGCTTAGGATGAGGTCACATTTGCTGAGTATGAAGCCAAATTTGCTTAGGATGAGTTCACATTTGCTGAGGATGAGGTCACATTTGCTAAGGATGGGATCACATTTGCTGAGAATAGGGTGACATTTGCTAAGGATGATGTCACATTTGCTGAGGATGAGGTCACATTGCTGAAGCTGGGGTCACATTTGCTAAGGATGAGGTTACATTTGCTGAGAATAGGGTCACATTTGCTAAGGATGATGTCACATTTGCTGAGGATGGGGGTCACATTTCCTAAGGATGTGATCACATTTGCTGAGAATAGGGTCACATAGGGTCACATTTGCTAAGGATGATGTCACATTTGCTGAGGATGAGGTCACATTGCTGAGGATGGGGTCACATTTCCTAAGGATGTGATCACATTTGCTGAGTATGAAGTCAAATTTGCTTAGGATGTGGTCACATTTGCTGAGGATGAGGTCACATTTGCTAAGGATGAGGTTACATTTGTTGAGGTTGGGGTCACATTTGTTATGGATGAGGTCACATTTCCTGAGGATGGGATCACATTTGCTGAGAATAGGGTCACATTTGCTAAGGATGATGTCATATTTGCTGAGGATGAGGTTACATTTGTTGAGTATGGGGTCACATTTGCTATGGATGAGGTCACATTTGCTGAGGATGGGATCACATTTGCTAAGGATAAGGTCACATTTGCTGAGGATGAGGTCAAATTTGCTGAGGATGAGGTCAAATTTGCTAAGGATAAGGTTACATTCGCTGAGGATGAAGTCACATTTGCTGGTAACAATAATATTTCAGGACTTCAAGAAAACTTCAATTTGTTATCTTATTCTTTCGCTGTTGATAATGATGCAATATCTGAGGGGGGGTTGCAGCTTGTACTAACTGACATGCATTCAAACCATACGTTGAAAGAAATATTTAATTCTGTGACAATCATAGAATTTTACAAATTTCTATCGACTGACAAATTTCCACGTGTGAAGAAATTTGCTGGGAAAATATTTTCTATTTTTGGATCCACATATATTTGTGAGCAACATTTTTCTTGTATGAAAATCAACAAGAGTATAAATAGATTCTCTGTGACTGACATAAACTTGCAGGCAGTGATGAAGATCTTAATAAGTAACCTACTCCCTGATTTGAAAAGAATTGTAAAAGAAAAGTTTGAGCGTTTACATTTGCCTCATTAAATTACTTCTGCTGGCTGATGTGTAATTTGCGCATAAATAAATTTAATGTAACTTTTTTTTCTGTGTACCACTATTGTTTTATTTTTATTTATTACTAGTTAAAAAGGCGCCCCGTCAGGCGATATTTAAGCTAGCTCTAGTAGAGGGTTTTTAATTGGGCCCTCTATCACAATAGGTAGGGAGGAGCAGATGCGATGGGCAACAATAAACTACAGAGGAACTCAAAATTGATAGCCGCGTTTAACTATTGCAATAATATGTAAGCTTATCTTTTAAATGTTCAACGATAATTCTTCTGCCGCCACTTAATTTAAAGACAATTTGATGTACGTAGGTCCTTACTTTCTGTACAGACAAGTATTTTTTTTATGGGTGACTTTATTTCCAAGTTATAAAAATTGTTATTGTACAGAATAAAAAATCGTCACAAAAATTCACGTAAAAAATCGCCGAAAACAATCGCAGTAATAAAAACTTGGGAATTCAAAATGTCCGGCTTTCGGGTTTGGATCCGATCTGGAATGATTTTGATTTGCTCACGGATTCGGTTCTGATTCCAAAATTGTATGATGTGTTGGGCTACGGCCTCTAGGATTAAAATTGAAAATGTGTGACACAGTGACACACTGACATTCGCATTTATTGTATAGATTATTATGCAATTCGCATTAAATAAAATGCAATGTTAACTAATGAATACGTTTTAGAAGGTGCGGCCCACGGCTAACCACGGCCCTCTCAAAGTGACCCCAGAGCCCAAACAATTGCCAACCCTGTTTTAGTGGATACCCATATTTGAGTAGACGCATCGTTTTAACAGTGTTTATTACAACTACTAGCCGGCGCACCAGAGAAAAATTTAATAAAGAGATGTACCCTCGGGCATGGTTCCGAACCTGCTTTCCCCTTTGTAGAAGAAACCACCGTCTGATCCGGCCTGCTTTAGACCGCTCGGCCATGGAGAGCGTCACATGCCAGTAAGGTTCTATTTGCTCTGGGCTGTCATGCCCTCTGTGACCAAGCACGCTGGATCAGATGGCGGTTTCTCCTACAAAGGCGAAAATATTTCCAGATTAGACGAAAATATAGTATTGTTGACATATCTTGGTAGACAATGTTTCCAGTTTTGATCCAGTTCAAAATCGTTTACACGCACTTGTCGGAGAAGACTTATTCTCCCCTCAGGAGCCTCTTTTCCACAAACGCAACGTTGAAAGCCTAACAATCTTTCCATTCATGGGTCAGTCCTTATAATGTCCACTTCCCACCACCTCTATTTTCATCAATGTTTACAGTAATTCTCAACCTTGAGTAGCTCTCGAGCCTAATATTGATAAATTCTGTTCAGCAACCACAGGGCCCACCAGGGATTTATACTGTAATTATGCTGGGCAGACCTTAGTTACAGTTTCTGGAAAAAGAGTGCAAATCATCATATGGCGTGAATAAAGTTTGAATGAGGCCAGTAAAATCAGACACTCGGTCACAATGACTTGTTGCTTCGTACTAGTACAAACATCGACGAATATTTCCGCCTACGCATTTTCACTTATCAGGCTTGGGTCAAATTTCTAACGGTGCCGCACGCTGGTAACGCCTCTCCAGAGATCATAAGTTATCTTACTGACAAATCGACCCTGGAGAGACTCGAACCCGGGGGTCTCATGGTCGAGAAGCGAACTTCTAACCACTTGGCGAAACGTGTTGTGTGTGTGTGTGTGTGCGCGTGTGTGTGTGCGCGCACGCGCGTGTGTGCGTGCGTGTATTTGTGCGTACGTGTGTGTGTGTGTGTGTGTTTGTGTGGAGCGAGACAAAAGTCTGGACAAACTACACTTGTGCTTATGATAAAAACTTCCTTGAGAAAAAAACAGTCTCCCACACAAATTAGGCATTGAAATAATCAACTGAATTCCAAGAAGAGAGACATAGAGGGGGAGTGAGAGAAGGAGGTGGGGGTTGGAAGTGGGGTTGGAGTTGTTGAGAAGCAAGAATTGCCTGATATCATAACATGAGTGTTTGGGAGCTTAATTTTAAATTCTGTGAAAAGTCTTGCTTATCAACGAATTGTTACAATAACTGGCTTTCTTTGTAAATTAATACTACATGCTCCACGGAAAATTATTAAAATTCTAAAAACAAAAAGATGAAAAAGATATAGTCGCTGTTACCGAAGTATGTTAAATTACGTTCAACTATATAGTGATACTTTACAGTATGACAAATAGACTTCGGTATATACAAGGGCCGTTCAAAAAGTTCTAAGCCTCACCCAGAAGGAGTTGGAGAAACAAGACAGGTTTTCACTATTTTCAATATAGTCCTTCCTAGTATCAATGCACTTAGTTCAGGATTCTTAATCATTGCAATCCAATCACGAAAGAAGGCGGCCTGTTCCTCACAAAACACCCCCACAGCACATATGACCTCATCATCGTTTCCAAAATGGCAACCATGCAGGTGGAATTTGAGTTTAGGAAGCAGGAATGTTGTAACCTAGAAAAAGTTACTGAATGAGGAATAACCAAAACGGAGGTTGGAAATGAAATGGTAATCTATATAGCAGCATTTATAACATCAACGATATACAATACTCGCCAGCGGCGTGAAGAAGGTAAACCGCCGCTAGTTGTGGACTACTTAGCATATTACTCCGCTTACAATAATGTCCATGAGGATTAGGACATGCCCATTAGTGTTCATAGGTACGGTATATAGCAAGGAAGAAGTCAGATGGAGCTAAGTCTGGTGAGTAAGGGAGATGCGGTAACAGTTGACCGATTTACCTACTGCCACCTGAGCAGTATGAACGGGTGGGTTATCCTGGACCAAGAACACACCTGCCCTCGGCTTCTCTCTGCGCTTCCATGTCATTGCATCCTTCAGTTGTCTTAATTCTGATGCTACAAGCAGAGAAATGAGTTTATCCTTTTTAAAGCTTATTTTGATTATTATATCCTTTTATTTTTTAATTACAGAAAACTTTAAAAAATTACTATCAAATTATTTTCCTTTTTAATTTTCCAAATTACTCAGTATTTTTTTTATTCGTTTACAATCATAACATAGAACAAAAATATTTACGTTTTTCTCACAAAAGTTGTCGTTTTGTTTCATAAATTTTAAATTTGAATTTAAATTAAATAATTTTATATTTTAATTTTAATTTATCATTAAAACTGTACATGTGCGAAATCATTCTGCCCAATAAGTGAGATGGCTCGATGTTTGAAAAAAAATCCAAAACTTCAAATGCCACTTTTTTTCCAGTGCCTTCTGAGTGTTTATGGCTTTCATAAGTCATTATATATATATAGTCATCCACAGACAGACTGTTTCGCCGTATAACAGCTCTTCAGTGTGACTAGACGTCAGGTTACTTCAATCCGGGATCGAAACCCGACCGATTTTGTATCATTCAGAGATCCTACCTCTAGGCTATCGTCTCACCGCAGAGAGAAAGGGAAATTTGAACGTTTTCTATATGAAATACCCCAGTGGCACGGAGAACTCAATTCAGTTTGAAGAGCAATGATATATATATATATATATATATATATATATATATATATATATATATATATATATATATATATATATATATATATATATATATATATATATATATATATCTGGTGTTAATACATCAGTACTCGATATAATACAACAGAGCTATTAAGCATATATTAAAATAAATATACATATCATCCCTTACTGCAAGCACGAATTCCATGCACAACACAATCTTCAGGTGCTGAGTTTAGACTGTCCGTTATGTAATTTAGATTTTAAAAATATCTGGTTACCACAATGTTGGCCCAGTTATATATCATACTTGGATTACTGTTTTTTTTAATTTAGAAATATATTTGACATTTAAAATAAACGGCATTTTAAAGTTGTGAATATTAATTTATCATTTTTTTTTATATTGAGCATAAAGGGAGATAACTTGTCCTTATATATATATATAGAGAGAGAGAGAGAGAGAAAGAGAGCGAGGGAGAGAGAGAGAGAGAGAGAGAGAGAGAGAGAGAGAGAGAGAGAGAGAGGCAAAAGTAGCACCATTTTTTACTTATTAAATTTTAGTGAACAAAAATCTACACCACGTCGTCCCTATCAACATCAGTTAAAAAAAAGAAAGAAAGGGCGTTACTTTTGCCATACCCCGTATTTTTTTATTACTATAAACGACATTTTAGTGCGTTCATGTGTTTGATTTGTTATCCCTGTCTTTTTTGTATATAACAGTGGAATTAATATCAACCAACCTAAATTGTGAATTCTTCGGAAAGAAAAATTGTGCCTCTGGCAAGAATCTATCTTGCATCTAATTTTTGTTTTTTAATTAGAGAACCCACTTTTTGAGCTAAAGTGCACCTCTATCAGTTCGGCTACGGAGACCAGCCTGGCAGAGAAAGTTTGGAATTACCTATTTAAGGAAAGTATGTTTTACCCGTCGGTACTCTTTATTTGCTAGTTTCAGTTCCGTACCTGAAGCCTAAACAATAGTAAATTTTGAAAGTATTTTTTATCCAACTGGGGTATTTTCTTGTTCTAAGTCACGTGATCAGTATTCAACTTCTGCCTGTCTTTTTAATATATGCTGTATATCTCTTCGACTTAACATCTTCAAATAGGTACAATTCTATTTATCAATACATTACGCCTCCCTGAATCGAAGAGTTTTAATACCTTTGGTTGTTCTCGAACTTTTTCTACAGCCTCTTTCCCCGTCACCACTTTGAGGTTTATGTTCTTTTCTTTTTAATGGAGATCTTGGTCTCATTTAACCCTCTTCCGTGTCTAAGTCACTCCCACTATTATCCATAGGCTCGTCTTCTATTGCATTATCCTGATCTGAAGAGCTCATCCCTTTTTTCTCTGTTAAAATCTTCTTCTATCACAACGTCTTCCTCTTCAGTTCCGAGTCTTAATTGATCAGAATGGACCATTATTTTTTTTCTTCCTCCACTTTCCCTTAAGGGTTATCTCCTGATCTTTTTAATGTCGATTTTGGTCTCATCTAATCCTCTTCCTTGTTTGAGTCATTTCCGCTATCATCCATAGGCTCATCTATTGCATTATGCTGATCTGAAGAACTCATCCTTTCTTCTCTGTCAAGGCCTTCTTCCATCACGACGTCTTCCTCTTCAAGTCAGAATGGGCCATTAGGCTTTTCCCTTCCTTTGGTATGATGGCTGCGTCATGTCCCCTTAACATGATGAAATGCTACTTTGTCTTTCTTATACCACTCCAAGAGTATTTCTTCTTATTATAAATGATATTTTCACTGGGCATCAAACACGTGTACCTCCTAAAAGTAACGTTTAACGTAATTATATATATATATATATATATATATATATATATGTGTGTGTGTGTGTGTGTGTGTGATCCACAGGCTGACTGGTTCGCAGCTCATCAGTGTGGCTAGACATACGTTTGCTTCAAGCTGTGATCGAAAACCAATCTGATTTCACAGTCGCTCACCCTGAGGCCATCAGCACACACAAACGGAGAAAGGGAATTATTTAACGCATTATGTATCAGATATAAACATTACTGACTACTAGAGGGCTCAATTCATAGCGAAGAGCTTTTAGCGTTAATCAGTAGTGGCCGATAACTTCCCTTGCTTCCAAAGTGCTCAACCTACGAAAGGGAACGTATAATCATCTACAGACAAACTGTTTCGCTGTATCACAGCTCCTCAGTGTGGCTAGACATGCGATTGCTTGAAGCCGGGATCAAAACTCGGCCAATTTGATATCAGAGAGAAAGCCTGTGTCAAATCAACAAACATTCATTTATTAATGCTGGAGATACTGCTAAAATATGTATTAAGTATTTAACATCGGTCTTCTTTCCCCGCTAAATGCAATTTTGTAATTGAAATAGCTGCGTATTCGCTAGCAGAGTTCTAGTCGGAGTTCAAGTCTGAGTTCGAGTTGAGGTAGAAGCCATGATTTCAAATGCTGAATTACCTAATCAGGTCAGCTCTTCCAATTTAGATGGAGACAGTTCAATTTTCCTAATTCTGTCTCCCTACCATTTGGTGTAATGTTCTATTTAGTCGAGGAAATACGGAGAATTATTCAGACGAATTAATGTTGTTTTTACTAGTTTCCATAATAGTCTCGTCAAGTCTCGTCAAGTCGATGTTGCATAATTTCTCGTTAAGTCTCATCAAGTCGATGATCAATAAATAAATTAAATAAACAAAGGAAAAAAATATACAGCAGAAGACGTTTGTTACAATATTTTTCAAAGAAACACACTACAGCCTGCGAATTAGTCGTTTCGGATTTAGGCATTTTTCTCGGCGATATTTTGCAGACGAGCCACGAAGACGTTATTGTCGTTAACTGATGTGGCGGCGCCGATCACATGAGAATTGTGCGTAATCACGTTACACGTTTTAGATGTAATGTCTTTGGTTTTGTTATTAGCTTTCGTCTTTTGTTAATTCGTTTCTTTTGAAATAGATGATAACTGCACAAAAACAACTACAAAGTGATAAGCATATAAGTAAAAAAAGAGAAAAAGTTGTTGGCGAGTGAACAGATTTATTACAAAACCGTATATCTGGATGCCTCGTTGGAGAAGACTGGCTGGCTTAGCCACTCTCATGAATCATGACGATTGAGTTCAATCCTCTTTGGGGGCTCACACAAATCATCTGACATCGTTATTTACTTAGCTAAGTTTTGGCACAAGGCTGAAGGTATGGAGCATCCAGTAAAGATTAAACTCTCTACTAATTGTAATTATCAAACATCGGCTTTGGTTTGGTTTGTTTAACGGCACATCAACTGCTTATGGGTCATTTAATGACAAAATTTAATTTTTTGGGAGCTTTGGTATACTTTTATTCAAAAGTGTATTGCTGGTAATTTTTCTCTTCCTTGTCCAATAATATATAACTGGTAATTTTTTTACTATGAAAATTATATTGCTTGTATTCTTACTGGAAACATGTACTTTTATACATTAATAATGTTTTGACCCCAGTTTGGGGTTCACTATTTGCCCATAGATGGGACCCTAACAGATGCTACCACCCTGAGCTAGAGTGAGCCCTGGAGCAACAGCAATTAAGAGGTTGTTCCAGGCTCCTCAAAACCTGATCAGAGGCCTTGCTGTTAGATGTAGTTTATCGTCTTGGAAGCAAAAGATAGATACTCAAGGACCTCAGCAAATATCCCGTTCAGTAGAACAGATTTGTATCTCAGATGACTGTTTTTAACGAGTTGTACACGTTACCTTAGGGCCTGAAGCACGAGGAAGCCAAATCGACTTGAAAGCAAAAGATAGATATTCAGGGATCCCAGCAAATATCCTGTTCAGTATCACCGAATTGCATTTCACTTGCCTAACCATAATGAGTTGTACTCGTCTCCTTAAGGCCACGCCCCTCAAAACCTCCCAATCAGTAGCTTTGTTACCGGATGTTTTTTTTATCGTCTTACCCAGCAGGTTAAACAGTGGCGGTGTTCTGTCAATATTTGAGTCTGTTGGCGTCTGTATAAAAAAATGTAAATATGAGTGTAGGCAAAAATGTACACATAACCTAGTTAAAATCATAAATTGCATTTTCATAGAAAATATGCTCATTATAAGCGGAGCATTTACTTAAATATTTGTATCTATAAAAAGAACGTATAAACATAAAAGATGTTTTAAAATAATTGTCGGACCTTGTCCATTTAATAATATATATATATATATATATATATATATATATATATATATATATATATATATGTAGAAATATAGTTTTAGGGTGTGCTATATTTATGGGTTAAAGTGCTCAATATCGAAGATAGAGCGTATGCAAATATAAATATAAAAGTGAACATTGAAGTCAACACTCAGAGGCGACAGACTGTTTCATGCTAGACGCAATCGTCAGGCCCTGATATATATATATATGGAGAGAGAGAGAGAGAGAGAGAGAGAGAAAGAGATAGCGAGAACTACATATAAAAAATACATATTCAGTTGAACAAAAATGCATCGTTGACAATGGCTAATAAAATATCCGAAAGAGCTCGGATCTACAGATTATTTGTACAATTTTGACGCACTCTGCGTTCAGGAAATAGCCATCTCGCAAAGATATACCCGAATATCGCAAACTGATCATCGCAAGGAACATGTTTATCAAGGTCGACTGCGAGCACTACCGGGACCACGAAGCCGTGAAAATTGAAGCTGCCGGCCGATCAGAGCCTGCTATACTGTTTCCTCTGTGATATCCACTGTGGCCCTCGGAAGCAGGTCACCGACGTGAGGTCCAGCGACGGCGGCATCATCACCTCCGGAGAATGCCGGATTGTGAGCCTTTCCGGTAACACTTCCAGCGCCCACCACCTACGCCCAATCCGGATCTTTCCAACGCAGCCGCCGCTACCGATTACAATAGTGATTGCCGTACCGACAGAATGGAAATAGAGAAGGCTCTTCACAAGGTCAAGAACAACATGTCCTCAGCGATCTGTATCATAGCCGAGCTTCTCAAGGAAGATGGAGACTACATAAATGATTGGTTTCTGGTCATCATCGACCAAGTGTGGCTGATGGAGGAACTTTCGAACCACTGGCGTCGCAATGTCATATTTCCATTATGGAAGAGGAAGAGTCACTGTCTTTTGTGCGACAACCACTGAGGGACCACCCTCCTGTACATCCCGTCCAAACTCTTCACCCGGATTCTCACCGTCATCATATCTAGGCACGACATATCTAGGTTCAACAGGCTGGTTTCATGTCCGCTCGCTTTGAGCTTTCTTCTAAAAGTTACGGGAGTATCACAAGGATCGCCACCTTTATGTTGCCTTTATCGATCTGAAGGCCGCCTTCGACACAGCTGAGAGGCCGACATTGCAGAACGTTCTGCGTACCCTCGCCCTCCTGCCAAAGCTTTACGACGACGCTGAGTGTTGCTTGACCAAGGGAAAGATTTCGGACCGTTTCCCGATCGCTGCCGGTGTCCGCCAGGCTTGTGTAGCTGTCCTCTGATTTATTCACCTAAATCATTGACCACCTGACATGCAATGTGCGAC